CAATTTACTGTTTTCACTCAATATTCATAATGTTCCTAAGATTCATCCCGGTTGTGTGTATAGCTCTAGTTCATTAACTTTCTCTGATGCTTAGTAAGGTATTGTGTGAATATTTTATTCTCCTTTAAAAGTATTTTGGAGTTGTTTTTCAGGCTTTTTTTCTATGATAAATAATAATGCTGATAATTCTGAAATAAGCCTCATTCTGCACATATGCTAGAATTTTCTGAGGTACATAACTAGGAGCAGAATTGCTGAGATTTATTCTAAATATACCTGTTCAACCTTACAAAATAGTGCAAAACATTATTTTCAAGTGGTTATCCCAACATACACTCACACATGAAATGTTTATTAGATAATTTTCAGGGTTTCACATTTTCATCAATCCTTGGCATTGTCAGACTTTTTAATTTTTTGCCACCCTGGTCGGTGTAAAACAGCATCTTTTTTAAAAATTGTACTTTAGTTGAAGGTTTATGGAACAAATTAGTTTCCCTTTCAATAGTTTACACACGAATTGTTTCATGGCTTTGGTTGCAATACCCGCAAAGCAGTATCTTTTTATGGTATTAATCTGCGTCTTTCTAGTTACTATTGAAGGTGAGCATCTTTTCATGTTTTGGTTTTTCTTGCCATTCATATTTTTCTTTTCCCTTTTTCCATTGGGTTGTATGTTTGTTTGTTTGTTTTAAATTGGGGATCTTAGAGTCATCTTGATATTAATCCTTAGTTTTTATGTGATGTAAATATCATTTACATTATTTTGAGTTATATCATTTTGCGACTTGTCTTCATTTCCATTATAGTGTCTTGGTTAATAATTAGAAATTCTTAAATTTTAATGTAGCTGAATTTATAAATACTTAATTTTTAGTGCTTTCTGTATCTTATTTAAAAAATGTGTCCTTAACTGAAGGTCATAAATATAATTTATAATTGCTTCTAAATGTTTTAAGGTTTTTGTTTTTCACATCTAAGTGTTTATTCAATCTGTTGTTAATTTTTGTATATGGCATGAGATAGAGATCCATTTTAGTTTTTTACATATGCATAATCAATTGTCCCGTTTATTTATTGAAAATCCACCTTTTCCACAATATCTGAAAAGTCACTTCTCGTATTTCAAGTTTACATATATTCATCTCTTTTATGTTCCATTGGTGTCTATTCCTGTGCCAATACTACCCTTTTCTAGTTATTATTCTGTTATATCTTGATATCTGCTTGAACATGTTTCCCACTCTTCAGGATCATCCTCTTTATTTTGTACTAGACGTTAGATCTAACAGCATGTTAGATTCAGGTTAATTTTTGGCAAGATTGTTGTGTGCTTCCTATTGCATATATTATCAGGTAGTAGCACTAATGGGAGCCCCAATAGTGCAGTGGTTAGGCGCTCAGCTGCTAACCGAAAAGTCAGCAGTTCAAACCTACCAGCCGCTCCATGGAAGAAAGATGTGGCAGTAAAGATTTACAGCCTTGGAAACCCTATGGGATTGTTCTACTCTGTCCTATAGGGTCGCTGAGTAGGAAACGACTCCACAGCAATGGGTTTGGTTTGGTTTATACTTGCTTTAGGAGCCCTTTTGGTGCAGTGGTTAAGCACTCAGCTGCTAACTGAAAGGTTGGTGGTTGGAACCTACCAGCCGCTGAGAGAAAAATGTGACAGCCTGCTTCTGTAAAGAATATAAACTTAGAAGCTCTATGGGGTAGTTCTACTCTATCCTACAGGGTTGCTATGAGTCAGAATCAACTCCATGGCAATGGGTTTGCTTTTGGAAAGATGCTGTTTGCTTGTTTGTTTTAAATGCTGACAGCCAGATCTCCCCATTGTGAAGTAACATTTTTTCCTCTTTAGAACTACCAAGTAACCTGTGGGGAAAAGCTTTGCCCAACATTTTAGAATAAATTGATGATGCATAGCTGAATCCATTATTTATTGGGACTTGCAAAATAGTATCCATCATTACTTTTTTCATTACTAGTAGGTGTTTTCTGTAAAGAAGAGCTTTCCTTCCTCAAGTAGAAGTGAATTACAGTTTCTTCCCAAGGGGTAGGGTTAAATGCTTAATTCTTTTAATTACCGATTTTCAGAGTAAGGATTTGATGTCGTAGTCTCCTTCAATGAAAGTAAAGGTTTTTGTTTTCTTTTCTTCCTGTTTTCTATCTATTGTTGACTACCATTACAGATTCCTGGGTTATTTATTTAATGTTCTAAATCAACTTCAGTAATTCTCCCTTTTGATGCTCAATTTGTCTAAAAAATGACTCGTGACTTTTTGACAAAATCCTGTGAGTCTTTGACTACTTCCTTAGGTTCAAGCATAAAATTTCCCAGGCTCATCTTCTACCTTTCCTATCACAGACTGACAGCTCAGCCTCAGTTTCAGTTTATCTTCTTACTGCTCTTGTTTTTACCTCTTTCTTCCTTTCTGGTCTTGGGTATTTCCTCTTTTTTTTTGTTTAATTGTGCTTTATGTGAAAGTTTACAGCTCAAGTTAATTTCTCATACAAGAATTTATTCACATATTGTTATGTGACAATAGTTGCAATCCCTATAATGTGACAGCACACTCCCCCTTTCCACCCAGGGTTTCCCATGTCCATCCAACCAGCTCCTGTCCCTTTCTGCCTTCTTATCCTGCCTCTGGACAGGAGCTGCCCATTTGGTCTCGTGTATCTGCTTGAACTAAGAACCACACTCTTCACGAGTATTATTTTGTTTTATAGTCCAGTCTAATTTTGTCTGAAGAGTTGGCTTCAGGAATGGTTTTAGTTATGGTTTAACAGAGCGTCTGGGGGCCATGTCCTCCAGTCTCAGTCAGACCATTAAGTTCGGGCTTTTTACATGAATTGGAGTTCTGCATCAAACGTTTCTCCTGCTCCATCAGGGATTCTCTGTTGTGTTCCTTGTCAGGGCAGTCACTGGTGGTAGGCGGGCACCATCTAGTTCTTCTGGTTGCAGGTTGATGGAGTCTCTGGCTTATGTGGCCCTTTTGTCTCTGGGCTAATATTTTCCTTGTGTCTTTGGTGTTCTTCATTCTCCTTTGCTCCAGGTCCTCTAGTTTTTTTGTTTGTTTGTTTGTTTATACAAGCTCAGGTATGCATTTTTCAACACCAAATGTTTATTTTGTGCCAACTATGGGCTAGATACTGTTCCAGCATACAGAACTGAACAATTCTCTAATATGAAGAAGTTTACAATAATGCTTGTTATATCAGTTGTGCATTTTAGTGGATATCATATTTTGATGTGGCAATTTTAGGTATTATGGAGGATTTAAAGTGATCTAGCTATATTGCTATTAAACGTATCGTAAATGGTATTTTCTAAAAAGCATCAGTTTGCAGAATGAGTATTTGGGAAAAGACAGAAAACAGGAAGTCCAGTTAGGAAAGGATTGCAGTATTCTAGATATGAGGTGCTTAGACCAGTAGGCAGAAGTGTGAATGGAGGAAAAGCTGGATTGCAGGAATATCTTGAAGGAAGAATGATAGAATTTTTTAATAGTCTAATAAGAGGGCAGGGTACAGAGGAAGGAGTCAACATGAGCTCCAAATTTTCTTCCCTGGAAGACTGAAAGATGACTATAACACTGAGAAATAGTGTAGCTGATGTGAGTGGGTAGACAAAAATATCTCATAGAGTATGGACTGTGTCTCTATATTTAATATTCCAGGTAGTACATTAACATGGTGCTCTGGATATAAAAGATAATAATTGCATCAACATAGTTAACTTGAAAAAGGTACTAGAACAACTATGTAGATACGACCCAAGGTAACTGAAAATACAAGACTAGAAAAGAGTAAGTGACAGGATTACAGGTTAGGGGAGGGAGTGCAGGTGCTAGACTAGTCTCTCTATTCCTAGAGCCTGCTTTGGTACTTGGCATAAAGCAGGCCCTCAATTAATAGTTACTGAATAAATGAACGTAAGTCATTTGCATAGATGTGGTAGCTGAGCCCATGAGAATAGATCTGAAAACAGAGGACGTTTACTTGCTGTGGTTAAAAAAACAGCCCTTCTTCCCTATGGCGTGTATTCCCAACAACCGCCTACATCAGAGGAAACAATCCAAAAGTACCCTGAATTGGGAATAATTAGTGGAGGAGTTGGAACTTCAGAAGGTTTATTTTTTTTTGGGGGGGGGGTGTATTCTAGACTTAGACTACCAAGGCAGAAATGACAGGTTTTGCCACTTTCAAAGTCGGTATTAACTGTATCCATTTTTAACTAGGGTCAGACACTCGCCACAACTTAGAGCTTCTCAGTGTAATCAGTGCAGTATCTTTCCCACCATGCTCCTAAATACAACCCCTTCTTTACAGGTTATCAGCCAAAGGCTATAGAACCCTCTGCCACGGAGTCGATTCCGACTCATAGCGGCCCTATAGGACAGATTAAAACTGCCCCATAGTTTCCAAGGAGTGCCTGATGGATTTGAACTGCCATCCTTTTGGTTAGCAGCGGTAGCTCTTAAGCACTACACCACTAGGGTTTCCAGAACTGCTCCGTAGCATTCTCTAATTAAAATAATGGATTCTCCTCCAACCCTTTCAACGAAATTACCTGAAATTCCAATTATGCAGAGTACTCATAAAAAAACCCATTGCGGTCCAGTCGATTCCGACCCATAGGGACCCTATAGGACAGAGTAGAACTGCCCCCATAGAGTTTCCAAGGAGCGCCTGGTGGATTGGAACTGCTGACCTTTTGGTTAGCAGCGAACTCTTAACCACTAAGCCACTAATTACGCAGACTAGGGTAACTCTATTCCCATCCTCAAGAGAGCGGTGACCAGGAAACTCAAGGCTCTACCCTAGAAGCCTACATCAGAACCAAAACCTCAACGCTCTGCGCCGCAGTGCGTCAGACGGCTCTCAGAGCCAGCGTCTCACACTGAGCCTGCGCATACTGGGGCTGCCGGGCAGGCGCACGCGCTTTGCGGCGGGCCGGCGGAGCCAGCTCTGGGCGGCTCCAGTGTTTCGGAGCCCAGGAGCTGTGGGAGGAGCCGGCGGCTTCACCGTGGTAACCGCAGCGCCGCCGCCGCCCGGTCTTGCAGGCCCCAAGACTGTCATCGCCTTTGGGTGTTAGGGGTACTCTGGCCATCGTCCCCGGAAATAGCTCTGCCTGCCTCCCTGAGATAACCCTACCTGCTCCCCACGCCGCCGCCGCCATGCAAGGGGAGGACGCCAGATACCTCAAAAGGTGAAGACTCCCCAGGGCTCTGTGCTACCCTCCCCGCCAGGCCCTGATGATGTTATTAGGTTGGCTGTGATGTTACTGGGTTTTAGCGAAGCTAGAAGCTTAGGAATGAGGGAGGGAAGTAGATAGGGAGGGAAGTCATTGAAAGGGGAGGGAAAAGGTGAATCGGGAAAAAAGCAGAGCCCTTTGGTGGTGCAAGAATCTGGAGGCTCTTACCTGGTTAGGCGGGGCGCTGACTATAAGCTGATTTCCTTGCTACATTGTTGGGAGGGAGGCGGGGTAAACCGCGTCTTTATTTATTTTTTTTTTTAACTCGCCCTGACTCTCCATTTTTCCCTAATGAACCCTGAGGGAGCATGGAAATGAAGTCTTCTGGCGCCTCCGCTGTCTCCAGTTTGGGGTTCACTGCCAGGGGTTTTCTTTGACGAGGAGTTAGGTGGTGGTTTTAATTTTATGGGAGGCTGGGCTGAGATTCTGTTTTCTGCTTTCCTCATTCATTTTATCCATTTAACTGCCATTCATACAATATAATTTTTGTAGGAGGTTCATAATTATCAAGAGGTTTGTTTAGGAGACTGACGTGGAGCAGGCCGTAATTTTAGTCCAAAAAATATTTGTATCATAAATTACTCTTTAAAGGAAGTAATAATCTGTTGGGATTATTTGATTTCTGTCAAAGATCAACTCCTCTCTGGTGAAAAGGATGCCTCTCACTGGACCAAGGGTTAGCAATGATCTAACAGATCATTCTCCATTTTTAGTTAAGTCACTGTCACTGATTCAGAAATATCCTAGGAAAGTCACTTGTATTCTTTGGATACAGTTTCCTCATCTGAAAATGGGGCAAATATTATGTTATGAGAGACATAAGGACCAAGTATGAAAATACTTTTAAAAAATAAAACATGCATTTAAGGTGGTGGTGTTATTTCAAGCCATATACTTTTACTCAATACATTTATCCTGGCTTAACAGGGATCTGATCATCACAGAAGAGTCTTTCAGGCATTAATAGATGCTTAAAAGGGATTCAAACAGTTGTAATAAATGAATAAATAAAAAATCAACTGCATTGTCTTTGCAGAACTGAGGCATGTGTTGCCTACCTTTCTGACTTATGTAACTATATCTGAAACTGACAAATAGCCAGGCTTTATCAGTAAAAAGAAAAAAAATGAATAATCGTAACAGGTATGTAGTCAGTATTGATTTCCTAGCTGAATTTTACTTACATTGATCTTTTAAAATACTTCGATTGAAACATTTAGGCAGAAGATACATTTTTTATCTTTCAACTTTAAATTCTAGATTGTTTTAGAGCAAAGAGCCGTTATAGTGTTACATATTCAGTCACCAGATTTTCATATAATATAGTTGTGCCAGAGGCAGTTTTCCTTGGGATTTCTCATTGTCCCAATATGGACCCGTAGGCATACTGCGAATGCGTAATTCTCAGCTTAGAGGACAGAGTACAACTGCCCCATAGGGTTTCCAAGGAGCGGCTGGTGGATTTGAACTGCCGCATACCGCTTAACCACTGCGCCATCAGGGCTCCATTACTTACCTTTAAAGCCGTGTTATCTAAAGTTCAAAAAATAAAATTGTAACGTTTGAAGTAAAACAAAGTCAGAATCTGGAAAGGTTGAAAAATACACTTCTCAATTTTTTCTAACTTTGACAATATAAAGAATAAAAAGTTTGCATTGCTTCCTTTCAGATTAGAAGTATGCAGCTGTCAGAAATGGAAAAGGTTTATGATGTCTGGCAAAACCTTCCATTTTAATTATTGATTTTTTTGTTAATGATTACATATGTTCCTTTTGAAATGATTTTGATGTTTATAATTTGTTTTTAGTAAGAGAGCTGTATGTTTTTCATCTAATTGATTTAGTCCTATTTTAATTAATTTCAGTGGTTTTACTGTAGCTGCTATCACTAAGAACCCTCTAGTCTCTTTATGCCTGTCTCTATATGTAATACTTGTATATGTTTACATGTATAATAGATTATAGAATCAAAAATCTTGGTTTTCATTTTTTGTTCTGTTATCAGTTAGTGTTTTGACTCAACAGAACTGAATATGTACCAATAGTCTTATTTATTAAGTCATTCTCCCAGTATCTTAGAACAATATAATGTATTGTTTAGTTAAACATTTAGTATTGTTCTAAGATACTGGAGAAAATAGACTATTGGTATGTTCTAAGATACTTGGGAAATGACTAAATATAGACTTAGTCATGTCTTTAGTGAGCTATACAAACAATAGGCATTTACATCCAGTAGTGTTTTTTTTTTTTAAAACCCTGCTTAAAAGGATGAGTTTTGTTCTGTTGTGCATGGGGTCTCTGTGAGTGGGGGCTGACTCAGCTGGCAGCTAACAACAAACTAGTTAATAGCAGTGAGAATGAAGAGAAATTGGATAGATTTTTAGGAGCTTTTTAGGAGGTCTTTTTTTTTTTGTATTTTTTTTAATTAAATTATTGATTAGAGGTGGCAGATGAGGTAAAGAAGGAATCAAGGATGATTCCTAGGCTTATTAGTTTAAAATTAGTTTAGATAGTATTATCATTCACTAAAATAAGAAAAACAGGAAGTTTTGAGGGATGATTCAGAGGAAGATATGGAGAAGAGGGAGGAAAATGATTAATATTTTAATGGGTGCTAGAGTGTGATTTTTACAGTTTCTATATCTTTCTACTTCACTTTATAAAATATTGTGACTGGTAAAAATTTCTCACCAACTGATAATTTTGGGGTCTTGAGGAGACCCAGTAAGTAGTAAGTCTTCTCTTCACCCACTTTTTGAAAACATTGAAAGATAACACAGTGAGGGCCAAAATAATCTTTTTTTTTAATAGATAATGACTAGCTTGGAGAATATAGTGTAGATCTGCAGGCAAGTATGTCTGTTAAAATTAATTTAAACATGACTGATGCAGTCCTAGGGAGAAGTCCAATTTATTTATTTATTTATTTATTTTCCTTTGTTGCTTGTGTTTTTGGTGCCATTTAAGAAGCCACTGCCTATTCCAAGGTTATGAAGAACTGTCTTTTTGTTTTCTGCTAAGAGTTTTATAGTTGTAGCTCTTAAATTTAGATCTTTGATCCATTTTGTGTTAATTTTTATATATGGTGTGAGGGTGAGGCTCCAACTTGATCCTTTTACATGTCCCAGCACCATTTGTTAAAGAGACTGTTCTTTCCCCCATTAAACAGTCTTGTCACTCTTGTTGAAAATCAGTTGAACCATAGCTGTATGAGTTTATTTCTGAACTCTCAATTCTATTCCATTGACCTATATGTCTATCCTTGTGCCAGTACCACACTTTTTTGGTTACTATAGCTTTGTAGTGGAGCCCTGGTGGCGCAGAAGAGCTCAGCTGCTAACCAAAAGGTTGCAGTTCAGATCCACCAGCTGCTCCCTGGAAACCCTATGGGGCAGTTCTACTCTGTCCTATAGGGTCACTGTGAGTCGGAATCAACTTGACGGCAATGGGTTTTTGTGTGTGTGTGTGTGTGTGTGTGTGTGTGTGTGTTTGGTAGCTTTGTAGTAAATTCGAAATTGGGAAGTTTGAATCTTCCAACTTTTTCAAGATGGTTTTGGCTATTCAGGGTCCCTTGCATTTCCGTATGAATTTCAGGATCAGCTTTTCCATTTCTGCAAATAAGACCATTGATATTTTAATGGAGATTGCATTGAATCTGTAGGTCACTTTGGGGACTATTGTCATCTTAACAACATTCAGTCTTCTGATCCATGGATACCAGATGTCTTTCTGTTTATTTAAGTCATCTTTAATTTCTTTCAGCAATATTTTGTAGTTTTCATTGCACAAGTGTTGCATCTTCTTGGTTAAATATATACCTAAGTTTTTTTATTACTTTGTGTATTACTGTCAATGGAATTTTTTTTTTCATTTCCTTTTTGGATTGTTCATTGGTAGTCCATAGAAAGAAACTGATTTTTATGTGTTTATCTTGTATCCTGAAACTTTATTGAATTTATTAGCTCTAACAATTTTTTTATGGTTGTTATTTTTTTGTGGGTTCTTTAGGAATTTCTATACAAAAGACCATGTCATCTATGAATAGACATAGGATTATGTCATCCTTTCCAATTCGGATGCCTTTTATTTCTTTTTATTGCGTAGTTGAACTTCCAGTACAAGGTTGAGTAAAAATGGTAAAAGCAGGTGTCTTTGTTTCGTTCCTAATCTTAGGGGGAAGGCTTTCAGTCTTTCGCCATTGATATGATGTCAGCTGTAGATTCTTACTGTATGCCTTTTATCATGTTGAAGAAGTTCCCTTCTGTTCCTGGTTCGTTGAATGTCTTTTCATGAAAGGGTCTGGACTTTGTCAAATACTTTTTCTGCATCAGTTGAGATGATCATGTGGCTTTATTTCCTTTGTTCTCTTAATATGTGTTACGTTGATTGATTTTCTTTTGTTGTACCATCCTTGTATTCCTGGGATAGATCTCACTTGTTCTTTGATGTATAATCCTTTTAATATGCTTCTGTATTTGGTTTATTAGTATTTTGTTGAGGATTTTTGTATCTGTATTCATAAGGGATTTTGGTCTGTGGTATATTTTTCTTATTTTGGTGTCAGGGTAATGCTGGCCTCATAGAATAAGTTAGGAAGTGTTACCTCCTTTTTTTGGAAGAGTTTGAGAAGAGTTAGTGTTAATTCATCTCTAAGTATTTGGTACAATTCACCTGTGAAGTAATCTGGCTCTGGATTTTCTTTGTTAAGAGTTTTTTGGTCACTGATTCCACCTCTTTACTTGTTACAGGTCTATTCCAATTTTGTATTTCTTCTTGAGTCAGTTTTGGTAGTTTGTATGTTTCTAGGAATTGGTTTATCTAGGTTATCTAATTTGTTGCTGTACAATTTTTTATAGTGTCCACTTCTAATCCTTTTTATTTCAGTAAAATCGGTAGTAATGTCTTCATTTCACTTCTGTTTTCAGTAATTTGAGTCTTTTTTCTTAGACTACC